TAAATGTTTTTTCAATGGCTACGTTTAGCAGAACGTTTATTTTGCAACTGTTGGAAGTTTTCTAAGCTCAGATTTGTCTGATGACAAATAGATTAAGACCGGTAGGACAAAATTAATTTAAGTAAATAAGTGGATATATGTGCATGGATAAAATAATTTATTTTATGCAATAATTAGTGCAATATAAATTTAAATGTTTCAAAAAAGGCTATTAAAGTTATTATATATATATTGTGACGTTGCGGTTTCGCCGCGGCGTGGCAGCGCTCCGCCGCCGTCACAAGGCGCGGATTGCGCGCCCGAGGACGGCTCACGAATCAACCTTCGATCTCCAGGGGCGTATTAAAGTGCGATTCAAATATTCATTATTGTTTTTTTTTTTTCTTGCGATATTGCGTGGCGCCTCACCCCGTCGAGTTGGAGTTCCAACGCCACACTGAAGATGACGAGGAGTACCAGGAGAGCCGGATGATAAACGGAATCACAAGGACCGAAAGCGAGATGTCGAGGGCGAGGAGCCCGAGTTACGAGGACCGCTACTAAGCGAGGGACGACGTGAGACGCGCGCGCTGCGCGCCAGCAACGGCAGGCGAACCTGTGCATCGCAGGGGCCCGGCGCCGGGCCTGTCTGCAGTCCTCCGAGGCCAGACGGACTCTGGGGGTGGATGGCCACCGCCCCCGAGTCGAGCCAGAGGACACCGCGGGAGTCATCGCCTTGCCTACTACAACGGGGAAACCTGGAAGGACCCCGCGAGCGCGAAGGGCACGTTCGAACGCCCCGCCGAATCCACGGTCGATAACCCTGCTAGCGGCTCCCACACGAGCTTGCGAGCTCATCGCCAATTGGTCCGCTTATCGCGCGGAAGGGTCGCGCATGTCCCGCTAGGGGCGTTAGATCGACGCCTCTATCGAGCGCACTTCCGCGATCATTCTTGAGCCACCCTCGGGACGACACGCACGGCTTTCTTGAGCGCTTCTCGACCGACTCTTGCTGCGCACTTGGTGCCTGATTCTCTCGCGACGGCTTTTGGTGACGGCGGAGAGGACAACCCCGACCGAGGAAGTATCTTACCGGTGAGGTTGCCTCGTAATAGACGGTAGTAATGTAAGCCACGACACCGCCCTCCGGGCCACGCTCTCGCCTAAAGTACTCGCGTAATTGAGATCTCGTAATTTTGCATCTGCGATCGAGAGCGAGAGCGAAGGGCTTTGGAATGGTCTCGTGGCCAGTGAATAGTACTCATCGAGTGAAAGTCCTGGAGATCGCGATAGATATCTCGATTCGGTAATTCGCGAACATTCTTACGGTATCTGTGGTCGCGATCGCGTATTACCCGGCGGTGCGTCACGCGCGACTCTCGTGATCGTAGTTTATTCGTCGAGAATGATTCTTTTGCGTTACGCCGTTTCCGTAATCTCGTGTGCTTGCGGTCAAATTCGCGTTTTCCTCGTGTAGATATTTTCCCCTGCGTAGATTTAGTTGTACATGGCGTTAGTATGTAAGTTCGTCATCTCTTGCGTTAGATTTAGTTTATTTCGCGTTAGTCTGTAAGTCCGTCAAGACATTATTGCGTTGTGTAGTCTCGCTCTGGCTTAGCGCTATTCTCCTCGGAGAATACTCTTTCTTTCGCGTTGAATTAAGTACTCTTTTGCGTAGGGCGTATGTCCCGTAAAAATTCGTTAGATTGAGTACGATATTCTTCTCGCGCTGATGATTTCCTCGGCGCGATAAAACCTAAATATTTCGCGTTATCTGTCGCGTTCGGGCTTGATTATTGGCCCGTCGTTGTGTTATATTGCGTCTCGTATTTCGGGGATACTCTCTCCTGGCGACAGCATTCTGAACAATCGCGATCCTGCGTACTTTCTGGAGTAAACTTGGCGTCTGAGATCGCGTGAAAATTTGACTTGTTTTCGGAGTTATTATTTTCCTGGTTGTAACGATTTTTGATTTATTCTTTCACGCTCACGATTATTCACGTCTATATGATTTCGCTTTTGTGAGAGGTGAATCAACGGTTCTTTAATTTATTAGAGCAATCTCGTGAGCTTATTGTTTTTTTTTCTTGGCAATAAATGTTAATCTCTTTTGTTATTAATTGTTTGAGTTCGTAATTTCTGTGTCGCCCGTCACAATTCGCGCTGCCCTATATCACCTTCGTCCCTGAGTAATACGCCGAGCTGGTCGATTTCTCGCACGCCGTTTAATTACGATAAACGTTTCGATAATTTGTGATAAATTTCGCGTTAGTGGACGCGGGATACCGCGTCTGGCGCCCAACACTCACGTTCGCGTTAGAAATTTGGTTCGTGCGAGAGATCCGTCGGAGAGGCCTGACATCCTACTCTCCCGCAACTCCCTTTTGATCCGGCTTTGCGCCCGAACGGGTAAAAAGTCGTGACAATATATATATAAATCTATATATATATAAATAAATCATTTTATCCATGCACATATATCCACTTATTTACTTAAATTAATTTTGTCCTACTGGTCTTAATCTATTTGTCATCGGACAAATCTGAGCTTAGAAAACTTCCAACAGTTGCAAAACGTTCTGCTGAACGTGGTCATTGAAAGAACATTTATACGTGTGTTCCGTTTTGAAGAACTTCCTGAAGTGGTGCACATCAGTAATACAATTAAATTAGAGTGAGACAAGTATATTTTGTTTCACTTTAACTTATTGCACAAATGTGCACCAGTTATTTCAGTCATTTATGCTTTCCAATACTCAAAATAGCTGCTATATTTTTCAAACTTTTTTGTTTATAACTTGTTTATAACTTTTTAATAAACATAATGACCGCCGCGGCGGCTAAAACCTTCTGAAGGTCACTCAGGAGGGTGACCTTGACAACATATGTCAAGGTCAAAGTAATCCGAGCTGTGTTAGTTATTGTAAATAATTACCAGTATTATTAAAAGAAGGTATTGGTATTGAATTTGACGATAATCGATAAAAGCGTTCTTTCTTTATAAAATTTTGAATTTTTTGAGAAATGTCCGTGGTTGCTCTAACTTCCACCAATTTTGAGCTATCGGGCTATTTATAATTTTATTAAATTGTTTAGTCTTTTCTACCCCTATTTCATATATAATTCTTGAAGATTTGATAAATAAATCTTATCAAATCAATAAATTTTATCTCAATAACACTGATGCTGCTCATACAAAAAATGATGCTTTTGATACAACATAATTTTTTTTGTCCGTGTACAGATCGCTACCATTGTTCCTATTTTATTTCGCTCATAAAGCTTCCTCTATGAGGAAGCCAAACTAATAAATACTAATAAATATGCATCAAATAAAATACAAGTTTCCTCATAAGAGGAGCTTTGTGAGCAAAATAAAATAGGAGTAATGGTAGCGATCTGTAATGATGAGGAAGTAATGTGCAAGTTTCTAAATTGTTTTGTAATTTGTTCTAACTATTCAGTATATAAGCAATTTGCCTGCAGTATGACAACAAATTGGCAGCAGATTTGCTTAGATATCACAAGAGATCCGAAATCATACGTGTCCGAATTCTGATGCGGACAATATAATCACATCGGTAGAGTCTGCGATATAATCACAACAGAATTCATCAATCTGTCATTTTGCAAACATTTAAATTTTACTTTTATATGTACTTTTAAATTAGAATTTTATATAAAGAAATTATAGAATTATAGAAGTAATGTTATATAGTGTGTTTTGTTTTAATTTCCCCAGGCAAACATCTCGAAAAATATGAAAAATACGGCAAAACATTTCGGACAAATGTTATAGGATATCAAGGGAGACAGATGATGAAAATATGGATTGATCTTTTCAATGCCAGGTCAATGTAATCGCTGTTTTCTTAAATGGAATTCCCCATTTTTATTGCATATTCTTGTAGCTCTGGTCGAGCCGTTTTCAAAGCACACTTTACCTTAATACTTTTATACGTAGAAATAAAAGAAATCGATTGTTTTAAAAAAAGAAACAGAAAAAATTATTTTAAAAAATTTGATTACATTTTGTGAACGCATTCAATTTTACAAAATTGCAAATGTAAAAATTAATATTATTATTCGATTCCTTTCATTATTCTACGTATAAAAGTATCAAGGTAAAGTCATCAAAAAGTGAATACGAGATAATTCATATTTTATATTAAAAGTATCATGACAAAATATAAAATATCTCAGGAAATTCTTAATAAAAGATAGCTTTATTATATTGTTTTGAAAACGTCTCAACAAGGGCTACAAAAATATATTACAATAAAAATGAAGGATTTCATTTAAGAAAACATCGATCACATTGTTCTGTCATTGAAAAGATCACGCAAGCTCAAGTCCATATTTTTATCATCTGTCCCCCTTGATATCCTACTTTTGTCTGAAACGTTTTTCTGTATCTTCCATATTTTCTGAGATATTTGCCTGGTAAAATTAAAACAAAACACACTGTATATCATATTTGTAAAATTTATTCGAAGATATAGTGAAGATACGGCTAAAATTGAATAATGTAGTAACAAAGCAATAAATTGTTATCATTTTTTTTACCTATTTATCTCTAATAATGATATATAGGTTCTCGAATAGCCAAATCTGTCGAGAACAAATTTTGTTCTCGAAAGTGTACTACACATTTTGTCGATAGAAAATGTCAGCAAAAATAATATAGAATCTGCTAACAGAATATAATGACAGATTGACTGCAAAAACTAAACAGAATCTGCTGTTTCATACTTAAATGATGTATTTTATTTATAAATGTTTATGAAATGATAAATTCTGTTCGGTTTCTGCCGACAATTTGCTGTCAGATTATATCAGCAGGTCGTACCGGCAAAACACGAGTTTCATGCGGACCCAGATAGTACCGGATCTGTTGTAATACCTAAGCGAATCTACCAATTTATTATCTTACTGTGGGCAGTTGGCTTACTAGGTTATTTCTAACATTATATTAGTAGGTAATTTTTTGAAAAAGAAATGAATACCAATGTACTTTTCAGGATGGTATTCTGATTGAAAATATGCATGATGTTCCTTATATTAAACAAAAAGATATATCGCCGGAAGTTACAACTATGATGACTAGAATTTGCACAGAAATTAGAAAAATCACGCCACAAAATATTACGTGTGGCATTCAGGTATACAAGTTCGGCGTTGTTAAACAATTGTTAAAATCTTTCCATCTTGTTTTCTATTTGTTTTGAATTCGTCGATTTATTTGACGATAAGTTTGAACAATCATATTAAATTTATCGATGTCAAACATGTTGACTTGTGTCGATTTCACATTTTTTTCTTAATTGCATAAAACTTTATATTAAATCATAAAATTAAATTATAAAATTTTTGTATGTATTTTTTTTTGTAAGATTAGTTATATTATTAAGTTTATCTAATTTATTAGTGGCAATTTTATTTTTTAATTTTGTTTTATTTAATGTATTTATACTATAAAAAATATTTAATAGAATTTTTTGAGCATATAATGAATTTTTGAGCGTAACAAATTTTTAGTAACATAAAATGTATGGAATTATTTATTAATATTAATACTATTTCTTAATGCTTTTAATGTTTTTCAATCATTGTATTAATATTAAATTTGATGATAAATTAGTGATTATAAATTATATATATACTTAATACAGTAGTATGTTTAAATAAATTGTTATTATGGAATCAGTCGAGTATCACTTTTTGTAGATTCTCGCAGGATGCAACAAGGAAGCGATCGCGGTTGCCAAAGCTGCAGGATTGCAATTTATTAGGGCTGAAGGATTTGTCTTCTCCCATGTGGCTGATGAAGGCTTTATTGATTCAAATGCTGGAACTTTATTAAGATACAGAAGGCAAATCGACGCAGACAACGTTCTCGTTTTCGTTGACGTAAAAAAAAAACATAGGTATAAGATTTTGAAACAATTTAAATGTCTTTCTTTTCCCTTTCTTTCTTCTCTCTGTCCTCTCCTCTGTTTTTCGCAAGTTTGAAAAGAAAAAAGAAAAAACAAATTTTTTACTTATAAAAAAGAATCACAAATGGAATTTTTTTTCTTTGACTGCATCTTAAATTACAATTTGTAAATGAAATTATAGTAAACATTTTTAAAATAATTTAAAATAAAATGGAATATGCTCAAAATTGTATAATTTCCTTCAATACGGTTTATATTATACGACTCTTACGTCATAACTCTATACGAAAATAACTCAGCGTAAATATATTATTTTTTGTTAATTTTTTCTGGTATTATTACAGCTCCCACGTAATCACTTCCGATGTGAGTTTGTTGGAAACGGTAAAAGCTGCCGAATTTTTTTTAGCTGACGGCGTTATACTAACTGGTAACGCAACTGGCGAAGAAACAAACGTGAGAGATCTTTTAGGTATTTTTTTTTAGACTCCTCTCTCTCTCTCTCTCTCTTCCTTCTCCCCATTCTCTTTCTGTTATACATATATATATATAAATCTTTATATCATAATGTAACTCTGAAAATATCGACAGATCTAGCATCATTATAATCTTTTAGAGAATCATACATTTTTGAAATAATTATATACAACCTCGATCGGAAAATATTTATAACATCATATGATGAAATCTAGATAAAACTGGATATGCTGCAATTATGTCTCAATATTTTGTGCAAATATTGATAAATATTTGCACAATTTATTTCTAAATAGTATTTCAGCAAGACAGCAGCGATCGATATGAGGAACTATTTTAGCGGAATATTTACAAAATTAAATTTGGAAAGAAATTGCAAAATAATAGCGAAATAATTGTGAAATATATTTGAGTTTTATTATGTGTTAGGTTCTGTTGCACCAACGTCACATAACATTTAACCTTAGCTTAACTCACTCTTCGTTTCTTTCTAAGAGGACAGTTAGAAAGAGACGAAGAGTGAGTTAAGCTAAGCTTAAATGTTATGCGACGTTGGTACAACCAGGCCTTAGTCCTGTAGATAATTACATAGCATATTCTGTGTTTGTTGGGTCGTCGATAGATGGCATCCTTTCTCCTACGTAACATATAATGAACGATGGTATACATATATATAACAATGATATAATACATAACTGTTACATATTGGTGTTTGCTGAAGTGTGCTGGAGTGATTTTGCTTCTAAATGACAAAATAATTGTGCAAAATTTAAACCTAAAATTGAATTTCTCTTTCTCTTTTTTGTGCAAATATCAATCAGAAATTTTATGTTGCCTAAGAACGCTGTGTTATAAAGAATTAGCACAATAATTGTGAAATTCCTCTCAATTGAAATGATGCAATTATTGTACAATATTTGCGCAATTTTCTTATCGGGAAAGTTGTTTTGTTTAATTTGACCTTCTGAAATATCTTTTTTACTTTTAATGATACGAAAAGATTATATAGGGGAAAAGTGATATACTCGAAAAGAAAAATACTTTGATTAACGTCATTTTTTTCAAGATTTTTAATTGATTTTCTTTGAGAGTTTTATGACCGATATATTGATTTTTAGATGAAACGGAGATATATTTTTATTAGTACTTCATTAAGGAAACTACCTGTATAACAACAGATTGGCAGCAGATTTACTCAGATATTACAACACATCCGGTATCATCTATGTCTGCATTAAACTTGTGTATTATCGGCGGAACTTGCCCAAATAATCTGACAGCAAATTATAGGCAGAAACCGATTTATCATTTCATAAACATTTATAAATTAAATACATTATTTAAATATGAAACAGCAGATTTTGTTTAGTTTTTGCAGTCAATCTGCCATTATATTCAGTTAGCAGATTCTGTTATATTTCTGCTGATATTCTATTGACAAAATTTGTAACGGCTACTTTCTCTCTCTCAAAATCTACGACACTATTAATCTCGACAGATTTGGCTATCCGGAATAGTATTGCAATTGGGAGAAAAAAAAAACTTATTAATGCGTATTGTGTTTATTAATGTTTAATTTTTAAGGAGGTATCCTATAAGCACACAATATTCCTAGAATATTGTATTAATATTATCTATTAAAAATTAAAATAACATTGTTATAATATTCCGAGAATATTATATAATATTTTCTAATATTATAGGATTATTCTGTTGATGTTATATGTCCACTTCACATAATATCCTTTAGTATAGGTATACTGTTTTAATATCAGTGGAATATTATAAAAAAGTTCTTAGAATATTATTCTGATCTATACTAACAAATTAACGTTCATAAAATATTCCTTGGATATTATTATAATATTCAAATATTTATACATAATTATAAACAAAGATTTTATTTAATAAAAATAATAAAATTTATAATTTTTTTCATATATTCTCACATATCCCTCACACTGATTAATAAATAATATTTATAACCATTTGTAACATTAATTTTAGAACTATTATTTATTAAATATTAATAAATTTTTTAATTATTAAATTAAAAATAGTTTATTTGTTTGATAGTTTATTCCCGAAAATTTAAAATATTTTTATAACATTAAATAATATTATTTCATATAATATTCGTATAATATTTATATAATATTATCAGGAGCGAACATATAACTATCTATTAATATTACTAGAATATTGTATTTAATGTTCTAAAATTACGCCTAAAATATTACTTAATATTAAATAATATTACGCGCTTATAGGGTAATCTCTGCTTTTATTCAGCCTGAAAATCTTATTAAAATTATCCAAAATTTTCCCCAATATACAAGCGTCTCTGCGCGTCACACTAATTTTCCAATATTTCACCTCAAACGTACGAAAATCACTTAGCGTCTGTAGCATTATACCGACTTTGCCCCATACATCCCTGGCGAAAATAAGAAGCGTTGACAACCGTTCGATGAAGGTTTTTTAAAAGTTTATACGCTTTCAAACTTTGTAAGAACGCTTACACAACGTCGTTAGGTTTTAAACGCTTTTAAAACGCTTATCAAACGCTATATATAACGTTTCGTGAAAGTTCTGCAATGTTGAGGAGACGCTTTTCAGAGCATCTTTAGTAAACGCTGATTCACTTTCGTGCAGAGAGTTTGTTGTCAGACTTTTCAAACGTTTAGCAAATGCTTTTCCCAACGCCGTAAGACAAAAGTGTTTTTTCTCCGTTCAACAAACACTTTTTCAATGCGGCGAATTATAGGGCGTTTACGCAAACGGCTTGGAAACGCTTTTCCCGACGCTGTAACACGAGCGTTTTTCCTCCATTCAGCAAACGCTCTTCCAACAACGCCGCTATATAAGTAGCGCATCTTTGTCGCATTTAAAATACATCCAGCGTATATAAGCAGACCCCCTGAGAGGCAAAAAGTATAGATTCGGTTTCGAAACCTCCATTATCATTAATAAAAATTATTCTTCTAACGACAAGAGTAAACGCTCGTTAAACGCTCAATAGAGGCTGCATATGCAGTTTCCCATGATAAAAGTAGGCTGCGGTCCACTTGACGCTACAAATGGTTTGAAACGTTCTTCTTCTCCTTCTTTTTTCATTGAAAGAAAGGAGAAAAGGAATGCTTCGAAGCATTCCGTAGCCGTAAACAGAGGATCTATATCTAGATAGCAACGTGTCTGCATTGTTGTTGGCATGTGTTGCTATCAGAATTGTGGCAACTGAGTCCGCATTTGTCGGCAAGTTAATGCCTTCACGATATAACAATTTTGTATAGCAACTTGCCAACAACTTGTTGGCAACTTATGCTGCGATCTAAAATCGTCTGATTCAAAATTCGAGCTGTTGCCGTTATGTTGCTGTGATATTTCATAGGATCACACATTGCTCCCGCACAGCATTTTATATTTCAAATAGATAACAGATACATAAAATTTGAAATGTTGCTGTACAGCAGATACGTAGAAATGTAATTCTAATTGACACAATGTAAAGATTTTTCAAAGTACTGCAACAATTATTTTTTGAGGCAATATATATGTTCTCTCTGTAATTGGCGCTGTAATTTAAAGAGATATCATTTCTTTTTTGTAATTGTAATAGATCACTTGAAGCGCGACTCTTCTTTTTGATAAGGTAACATAATTTTGTGATGTGTAGGGGAGACCGGGGCTAAGCCGACAACGGGGCTAACTTGACAC